TGCCTACACTCAGTAAGCTCAGTGTCTCTCACCACAACCAAAGAGTCCTGATGGACACCAGCTTGCTCCCAGCAAAACAAAGGCAGGTGTAGAGTTAATGGGTCAGCGGACCCTTGGCTTCCGGTTGGAAACACACGAAACTCATGTAAAATACGCGTAGTAGGATTAACAGCTCCAGTACGAATTAAACTTGGCTTCAGGATCCACACAGAGAACAAGCAAATGCATCATTTTGTGGGCAGTTAGAAATCTTCTGGAATGAGTGAAAACAGATGCTGCTAAACCAGCCTCCCTCCTTGTCCTTTCTAGTCACACACACACACACACACACACACACACGTACACACACACAAACAGGCACACATGCACACACACTCTAACCACGATGCCTTGCTGGGTCCGGTGTGAATAAAAGCCACTCACAAGAGGAGAGATGCCCACAGGCAGCATGTTCGAGATCTCTGCAGGAGGGCAGAAGTGTACCGGGCACCAAGAGACAGGCTGTGGGCCTGCTTATCTCCATCCACAGAGAAATGCACTTAGTGAGGCGCCCACAGATCCTCGTTGGAATATTCAGGGAAAGACACTCCTGCCAGACCTTTGCCTGAGATTTCTCTCCAGGAAAATTCAGTGGGATCGGAGAGAAAGGAACTACCACGAGCCTTCTGTGTCTTAGGCACTGAGGGATGGGCTTCCTCCCTTTAAGTCACTGATTCACTTGCATTATGTAGACAGATCATTTAGACATGAGCCTAACAGATCTGAATCTCCCACTCAACTGCGTGACTTTGTCTACTTAACCTCTCTAGGCCTCATTGTCCTCATCAGCAAAATCAGAAAGATAATATTTATCTCGAGTAGTTGTTATGGAAGTTCGAAGTTATTACACAATGTGCGATTGTGCCTGCCTTATCACTGTCACTTGATTATAGTGAAATACTGTAAAAATTCTGATAGCATAGGATGTTTTTGTTTGTTTGCTTAGTGTCTAGGGGAGGACAGAATACTTAGGAAAGATTTCTGCCAGCCTTGGAAATCATTCTTTTCCAGTCTGACCGTGGCGGCGGATACAGGGACCGGGTTTCACTTCTTCATCATCGGATGCACGCAAGATGCTGTTGAGAAGTGTGACTGGGTGGGTTAGTTTCAGGGAATTACTTGCAAGAGGCGTTAGCAGAGTTGGCCTGAAACTGGAAACCAGAGATGGTTGTTGCCTGTAGAGGGAAAGGTCAGGAGGCTTGGGAAGGTCTCTCTGTCCCAAATATCCCTCCCTCTGCCTCATAAAGGCTGAACTCTAGAATGTAAGCGAAAAGCTTTTTTCCTTTTCTTTTCGTTTTTCAAAAGCAAATGGTAGCTCAGCCAGTCCACGTCAAGAATTGTGTAGAATTCCTGTGTCAGGTGTGGAAGGACCCTGTGCTGGGGGCAGAGAGGGTAAAGGAATCAGACCAGGACCCCGAGGGAGGGAACAGCCCAGGGAGGGGGTCTTCTGTCTCCTTTGGGTTTTCTTCTGAGCACCTGTACGGCCAGCTGCCCATCAGTCTTCATACCTGGATGTTGCAATGGCATCCTGACGGTCACAGGTCCCAAGAGGAACTTACAGTCAGCCTGTGGGAGCATCTCTGAACCCAGTCCCTGTCTACGCAGTCTTAGAGTAGCAGACACCCCGGGGATCCTCCCTTCCTCCCTGCAAGCATCCAGTTTCCGAAGATACTTCAGGGTATCTGTCTTCCTCTCTCCTGCTGGATCCCACCCCATCCTGCCTCCTTTCAGTCCACCTCTACCTGTGTCTTCCTACAACTCCAAATCCCACTGCCCCCCACCCCTAAACCCTTCACTGGGGCCAGCTCCCCAAGCTGAACTGTAAACTGATTCACCAGATCGAATAAATTGTCCAGTGTGCCCTGGGACCCCAATATGGGGTTTGCTTTTGGTGTCTGGGCGTGGTCAGCCATTGGGAGAAGGTCCGGCCGGCTTTGCAAAGCTACCTGGCTCCGTTACCCCGCCCCTCGGGAAACCCTGCTACTTTTAGGACCTGGAGGATCCGAGTCGGAGTTGCGAGGGTGGGGGGTGGGGGCGTCACCCCTCCCCGCCCCCAGCGAAGCCGGCGGCGGAACGGCTCTAATGGGAACCAGCAGGCGTTCCGGGAGGGCTCCCATCCTGGGGTGTGGGATTCCCGCAGAGACCTCAGTGGACCGTCAGAGGAGCTGGGGTGGGATGGGGATGTCAAAAGACGGATCGGTAGGTGGGGGCCCCGCACCCCCAGCACGAGGACGGCGGAAGCCCGGCGCCGAGGACCCCGCGGCCGCGTGAATGGGTGAACCCGACCCCTCCGGGAAACCCTACCGCGCCGCTCTCCCCCGGCTCACCCGCCGCCACCCCACTGGCGGAACTTCTTTAGAATTCGGGGCGTGTGTGTGATTTCCCAGCGAGGGCGGGCCAGGGGCGCTCTCCAACCAGGGGACCGTCCTACAGCACCCCCATCAGGGCTGGGAGCCTGGAGCGGGGCAGCTTGCCCCGTGGTGGCGCGCAGCCGCCGGCCCGAGGGAGCTCCCGGGCGTGCGGGTCTCACCCCATCGGACCCCGCGTCCACCTCCGCCTCCCTCGTCCCGGCCTTCGGTCCCCGCCCGAAGGGGCAGCCGGGGGAGTCGCACGTGGGGCGGTGGGTCCGGAGGGCCGGGGTGGGGGCTGGGGCGCCGGCCGGCCGGGAAAGTGGGAGGGGACAGGTTGGGGGGTGGTCTCTGAGGAGGAGCCAGGCCGGACCGTATTGTTCCACACTCGCCGCCCCGAGCGCGCGGCGCCGGCCGGGGAGGGCGTGCGGGGCGCGGGGCGCTCGGCTTCCCGGGCTCCCCCTCCAACCCCCGCCGCGGGACCCCGCCAAGAGGCCCGAGCCTTCCGGCGCGCGCGGAGACGCCGCTGCCCGGGGGTCCTCGGAGGGAGGGGCCTGCCCAGGT